CATACATTCATAATTCTTTGTTTCTAAGTAAATCTCTTGATTATATATATATATATATATAAGCAAGTGTAAATGGATATAAATCCGACAGAATGAAGAAAAAAAAATTTTAACAATGCTTTAGTTGTACACACAACTAAAACAGATCATAATTTCGATTTCGATTCCGTGAAGGTATTAAAATATTTTCATAATAAAAATCTCAGGAGGATTTATGAAGCAGGTATAATATCCATCTCACGCACAGTGAATACTAGACCTGGTTTCTTTAATGTTTCCCCTTTTTTAGCGAGATTGATGCTCGACAAGCATACACATAAGAATTTTTTAGAACCTAATAGAATTCTTTTTCATTTTCTTTTTTCATTTCAAAATAATCACAAACTTTTAGGAATATTTTTTGAAAAAGCGTCGCCCATGTGACGACGGCGTGACCATGTTAGACGGAAAACTGATCGTTTTAAAAATTTTCAGTTATCTGTTTTGGATAAGACTTGTGTTTTTTATGTCCATCGTATTCAACTGTATTGTATTTTAATGAATATTGTCTTGAAAAAGGTTTATTAAACCGAAACGTCAGACGTCGACATTTCATTCATTTTAAACTACATTTAAGGATTTTGTTTGTTTTTTCAAATATTTTATATATATATATATATATATATATATATATATATATATATATATGGATATATCTATATTAGGATAAAGAACAAGTAGGAAACAGATCTTAATCTAACATGTTTCACTTTATTAAAGCTTCATCAGAGATCAAGGTAGAAGTGATAAAAAATGATAAAAAGCAAAGTGAAGCAGATTAATGGAATGTTGTGTTTGGTTATTTCTTATTGGTTAGATATTTGTTTTTTTATCATTAGCATTCTGTACTGCTTAGCATTGACGCCGGAATCTCAAATACGAACATTTCAAAGTGTTTGGGTGTCAATATGAGGATTGTGCAGAGGAGTCGGAAAGAGTTGGATGAGTCTAATGGTGATTACGGATCAGCAGTGATGGCAACGTTATGCCTCTTCATCTTCCCACTGGGCCTGAGACTCAACACAGAGGCCTACATCAAGTGCCCGGAGGAGGTAGTGCTTCTCTGGCTCGATGGGTGGAAGCTGGAAGACCCTATGTCTGGCATCAGGACTCTGCACCACGTCACACAAGCAGGAGAACCCAGTTATGGCTGTCAGACAGCACCAACCCTTACATCAAGCTACTTGAATCCCCAGACTGCAACCCCTTTGATTATTATGTGTGGGTGCAGCTGAGCGAATGACCAAAAAACCTCCTTGTAACACCAAAGATGAACTGCAGACAAGGATTAAAGCAACATTCATCAATTTAAACAAGGAGACCGCCCAAAAGAATAGCAGGAGATTCCGAAGTCATCTGGAGGTTGTGGTTGAAGCCAATGGCGAATTCAATGAATAATTTCAGTCTTTAATATTTCAAGATATTTTTGTGTAATTTTGGTAAATATATCTGTGAAAATGAGATGTCAGTGTTATTTTCATTTTTGCGTCATTTACACGATAATTTATCCATCGCGCCATGCACACAGACACACACACAGACACACACACACACATATATATATATATGATAAAGATATAGTCTGAAGATATAGTTATGGTTAAAAGTGCTCAATATCAGAGGTAGAGTGTATGTAAATGCAAAAGTGGACGCTGTGGTCAACACCAAGGGGCGGTAGTCCGGTTCATATATATATATATATATATATATATATATATGTGTGTGTGTGTGTGTGTAATGGATTCGACTGGAATTCGAACTCGGCTCTGCGATTCCTCAATCCAACGTGCTCATACCCTTGGGAAAGGTGTGAATCATCTTCTTCTCCCTCCTATGGGTAAAATATCCTTGGATGGCAACTGGTCTAGGAGAAGGAAAACTCTGAATTCAAAACCTGCGGAGGGTCGTTTGGGGACCTTGTGGCACTTAGTGCACCAGGTCTCTGTATTCGGCCCTTCAAAAAGTGTAGATGGTCCTGCACGAGGCCTTCACCACTATAATCAAATCTCATGTGCCGGTGTCAGGCTGTCGGTTTCCTGGGAACTGATCTGCTTGACGCTCATACGTCGAATTCGACGGGAGAATCGACTATATATATATATATATATATATATATATATATATATATATATATATATATACTCTTTGATAAAACAAATCGAGTTTTCTCAGTCATTGTGTGTTTATCTAAAAAATAAATACGCTAAAATTCACCTTCATCTGATAAGGCGTTGATTTCTTCATCGCGGCTTTGATTCTCTCTCTCTCTCTCTCATTTCTCTCTCTCTCTCTCTCTCATTTCTCTCTCTCTCTCTCTCATTTTCTCTCTCTCTCATTTCTCTCTCTCTCATTTCTCTCTCTCTCTCATTTCTCTCTCTCTCTTATTTCTCTCTCTCTCTCATTTCTCTCTCTCTTATTCTCTCTCTCTCTCATTTCTCTCTCTCTCATTTCTCTCTCTCTCATTTCTCTCTCTCTCTCATTTCTCTCTCTCTCTCATTTCTCTCTCTCATTCTCTCTCTCTCATTTCTCTCTCTCTCTCATTTCTCTCTCTCTCTCTCATTCTCTCTCTCATTTCTCTCTCTCTCATTTCTCTCTCTGTCCCTCATTTCTCTCTCTCTCCCTCTCTCTCTCTCATTTTCTCTCTCTCTCATTCTCTCTCTGTCTCTCATTTCTCTCTCTCTCTCATTTCTCTCTCTCTCTCTCTCATTTCTCTCTCTCTCTCATTTCTTTCTCTCTCTCTCTCATTTCTCTCTCTCTCTCTCTCATTTCTCTCTCTATTCTACTCTTTCTTTTGATTATTATCTCATTCTCTCTTCTTTTGCTTATACTTTCTCCTTTTTTTATACCCTTGTAAAGAAAGGGAAAAATGCTGTTGAAATTTCCTTGGCTTCTATTTAGAATGGCGATGCTGGACAGCCGTCAGCATCTCAGTCCTAAGATGATCACAACTGAAACAAATTTGAATGGCGAGGAAACAAGTGTTTTCACCGCTTCTTTACAAACTGACACTTAAAAGGTGATCGATCGATTACAGTGGGTTTAGTGTCAAAAGGAAAATGGCTGTCGACGAAACGAAATGGTTGGGGGAAAAAGCTGAGGCGAAGAATATAAGAAAGAAAAAGAAGTAAAGAAAGACAGAGAGGCAGACAGAAAGAAAGAAAGAAAGAAAGAAAGAAAGAAAGAAAGGGTATGGAAGGATGAACAATAAATAAAAATGTGAAAAAGAACAATGTACGAAGGAAGAAAGAGATGTGGAAAAAGAGAAAGAAAGAAAGCGACGTGGAAAGAAAGAAACCAAGAGAATGACATGTAGAAAGAAAGAAAGAACGATAGCGTAAAAAAGAAGTTTATGCAGAAAGAAAGAAAAAGGAAAAAAAAGAAAAAGAAATATTTAAAGAAAGAAAAAAGAAAGAAAGAAAACGAAATATTTAGAGAAAGAAAGAAAGAATAAGAAATATTTAAAAAATATTTAAAGAAAGAAGAACAAATATTTAGAGAAAGAAAGAAAAAAGAAAGAAAGAATAAAAAATATTTAAAGAAAGAAAAATTGAAAAAAAGAAGAATGTGTAGAAAGAAAGAAAGAAATATGATAAAAATAAGGAATAGGAAAGAATGAATATGAAAGAAGGAAAAATAAATATGAAAAAAGAATGATAAAATAAAGAAGTTTATGGAGAAAAAAGAGAAAAAAATAAGCATGGAAATAAATTACGTGGAAAGAAAGTAAGAAAAAGTGGAGACAAAAAATGAAAGGTATGTAGAAAGAGGGAAAGTCATGCGGAAAGAAAGACATAAAGAAAGAAGGAAAGAAAAAGGAAGCTGTAGAGAGCCGTGATCATCTACATCCTGAAGGGATGCATCATAAAATAAATCACCACCATAATTCCTATCGTTCCCTTTAATTAGTGGAACAATAACTTTATATTATTATTACTACTACTACCTTTCTTTTTAATTTGTTTTTTTAATCGAATTTGTCCCAAGTAAGGCAGCAAAGCCACTAAGGCACAAGGGGTTACTGGGTGTGAAAGAATTAGAAAACAGAAAACATTATGAAGGAGCAGGAACAATAGAAGAGTAATCAGGAAGACAAAGATTGACATTGCGTTTAAAGTTTTGAAGAACAAGGTTGGCCGGTAGGCATGGAGCTGGAAAAGACTTTCACAAGCAAGAAGTGCGATAGCAGAAACTGTTAGCATAGAACTTACGGTTACATTCAGGCAATTCAACTGTAAAATGATGAGACCTAACCACCAATCTAGTACTGCGCTTAAATTCATGAAGTCTAGGTGCCATAGCAGAGAGTTCACCCAAACAATTATGATGATAGTATTTTATGATCTGGTGCCCCCACCACCTCCTGTTCGCCTTAAGATCCTCGGCAAAATCCAGAGACGGATATGCTACGAGATTGTCCCTGATCTGGCATCTCGTCTACAGTTGCTCTCTCACAGACGTGCCGTCGCCTCCCTCTGTATTTTCTACAAATACTTTCACTCGTTCCCAAACTGCATGAATTTAAACGTGCTACTAGGTTGGCATCTCGGTCCCACCCTTTCACTGTCGAAACGGCTAAATGTAGCCGTCTCTTTTACTTCAATAGCTTCATGTCTCGCACCTCCCGTCTGTGGAACTCCCTTCCTTATATTTGCTTCACTGATAGCTATAATCTCCAACTATTCAAATGTAATGTCAATCGACATCTCCAGATGATTTGATCTATTCCCTGTGCTCTTCATCCTTTCCTCTCTCATGCCTCTTTACTCTTACTCGCTGTAACTTCTTGTGTGCTAGTGGCATTCCGTCTTGCTTGGGGTGAAATGCTTAAAAAACAAGGCACAGTGAAGCTATATTACAGCGGTGGAAAAGTGACTGAAGCCGAGATGCCAGGTCAGGAACAATAATATTGCTGATTCTTCTTTGGATTCTATCAAGAATCTGAATGTAGAGCAGAAGCAGCAGACCATAAGTAGAAGCATTAGAAAACAGAACAATTACGAGGAGCGAAAACAATAGAAGAGTAATGGCGAATAGGCAGTAGATAACGATTGACATTGCGTTCAAATTTTTGAAGAACAAAGCTAGTTGGAAAGCATAGAGCTGGAAGACAATTCGTTCCACAAGCGAGAAGTGCGAGGAAATAAACTGTTACTATAGAACTTACGGTTGCCTCTAGCTAATTCAACTGTAAATTGATGAGACCTAGTTGCCAGTCTAGTACTGCGCTTAAATTCATAAATTCTAGGTACCCTAGCGAAAAATTACGATGAAAGTATTCATAGAAAAGGCACAGGGAAGCAACTTTACGGCAGTGGGAAAAAAAACTGAAGCCGAGATGCCAGATCAGGACCAATAATTTTGCTGATTCTTCTTTGGATTACTACTATATTTCTTTTAAGTGGAATATCTCTTAAGGATGCAAGCGATTACATGTCTCCACAGCTTTTGCTTTAATATCTGTAACCTGTCAGTTGTTTTTTGGTGTTCCTGGGGGAGGGAGAAATATTTACGCATTGCCTTCCCCTCGATTTGGGATTTCAAACTTATCTTTCTTTAAGACTGGCTGTAAACCAAGCTTAGGGTGAGAACCCAGTTTGTCTTTCTGTTTAACCCATAGCTGGGGGTTTGTGGGGAGCAGATACTGATTCATGTCTTTTCCATGGGTATTAGTGTGGAGTTAACACATACAAACACAAACACCCCCATCCCGGGCACACGCATACAAAAAAACACATGAAGAACTAGACGAGACATGCCAAGAACTAGACAATAGAATGCGAACAATCTACCTCTGTAGATTGAATAAAGGGCTGAGTTCGAAATTCCTTGAGGTTTATTAAATCGACAGACACCAGAAGAAGGCTTGAAACGTTGTGACGATAAAACAAAAAACATATTAATACAACTGTATAAGGTAATTTTCTAAACGGAGCTTAGATGTGGCACATGGCTAAATTTATGGGGCATCCAGAGAGAATCGAACTGACTATTCATTCGTAATTGATCTAGCGAGACACGTTTGCTAACCATTACGCCACGTCGAACTGCCCCTTAGATGTGGCCCAAGGCCGAAAGAATGGGGCACCCACTGAGGATCGAACTCACTATTCTGTCGTAATTGATCTAGCGAGACACGTTTGCTAACCATTACGTCGAAGTCCCCCTTAGATGTGGCCCAAGGCCGAACGTCTGGGGCACCCAGTGAGGGTCGAACTGACTATTACACCACGTCGAGGTGCTCATGTACGAGTGCAAATGATTTGAATAATTAACACAAATTGCTTCAGCTGGGATTTGAACAGCAAATCGCTGGTTCCATTGTCAGCCGTGTTGCCACTGGTGTTACGATGATAAATATATGTGATAAGGACGAGAATAATTTTTTATGAGATTTTTCTTGTTGTTTTTTTAGCAGCTCACTTCACCTCGCATTGTTTTTTTCCCCGTCACCCCTGACCCGTGTTCACGCCCCTTTCATTTTTTTCCTCTCTCCGCCTTTAAATAAAAGGTCGTGACAGGATTAGACAAATTCTACACGGCACGGCGGTGTAAAGTCTTGGTGTGCCTTCTCGTCCAGCCTAAATCATTAATTAAGCACTTCGAGCACGTATTACTTTCACCCGGTGATCAGATCGAAGTGACAAATTGATCGATCCAAACACCCCCACCCCGTACACACACCGTTCAGTATTGTTTTTTTTTAATGTCTTTCTCGAGAAAACGAAAAGTTCCGAAAAGGACAACCAATCAGTGGTTAACCTAGGCAAGAAATAACTTGTAAATTTTAACGCCACCAAAACAAAACTGTTTTAATCACCATAGAAAACCTTTTTTGTCCGCCATCAGCATGGCTGATGCTAACCTCTAAGAGAGCAGTTCTTGGGGCTCACGTTTTCCACTGATATGAAGTGATTATATTGAATCAGTTATTATGTCTACTGCTAGGAAAGATTGGTTCACTGTGGCATAATCCATCTTACACATTTATAAATCTACCATTCGCCCGTGCATTGAATATTGATACCATATCAACAGTACATTTTATAATAAAATTAAGAACAATACATTTTTACTGTAAAATGATATATTTTATTGTTTATACGTTATTTTTATAGATACAAAATTATTTGGACTATTGCCCTAATCTTTGTTGCAATATTTATCACGACGTTTTGGCCGTTGTACGATCCGGCCTTCTTCAGGTGGTTGGAATGTCGAACTGAACCCTTTATTTCGCTCACTGGGGTAGACTGTTCTTGTTCCACGTGCCATGTCTAATGGATGGCAGTTATATCCTGTTAATTCCCCTCTCCAAGTTCTCCACTGCCTTAACAAGGTATTGAACTCACACACTTTATCCACTGTGCCATGTGTCCTTGAGGACACATGGCACAGTGGATAAAGGAATTATCTCCCCTTGCTAGTCTCGTAGTTCATAGAAAAATTCCCATTTCTCCTGCTCGCCTTCTATATATCCTGTGAGTGTTAAATTATCCCAGCCTTCTTTCCTCATTATGTCAGAAATTTCAGGTTGAAGTTTCGATTTTGCTTCAAACATCCTAATCATTCTCATGTTCTGTTTCAGCATTCGTCAGTAGAATCACATATTTGAAACGCACAATGTTTTATATATATATATATATATATATATATATATATATATAAGTAGTTAAGTTACGAAAGACTTGGTAATCCGTATGAGTAGTCCCAAAGAGGATGAAATCCTGAGAGCTCAATGTAAATTTAAAGCTAATAATTTAAAGAAAAACAGACCACTTTAAGGCTCCATAGTTTATTCCACCAGAGACCTTTTAAAGTACCCTGGATCCTCAGACATCACTTTCAAAAGGTGAAACGAAAAATGAAATGAAAATTTACACTTTTGACGGGTAGTATTGAGTTTATGTAATTTAACAGAGAGGGTAGCGAGGAGTGGTATGAGAGACATGGTTGAGTTTAGAGAGGGTTTATTTTTATATTTCTTTCTATCTTAAATATAAAAATAAACCCTCTCAACTCGTAACATCTTTGTGTATGTTCCGTCAAGTGATGCTTCTTGATGTTTCGTCAGTGTCCATGTTGTTGAGCTGTAGAGCAAGTCTACTCATCAGGAGGTATAATCAAATGTCTACCAATTTTCTCGACGAATGTTATGATCCTTGTTTTTTAAAATTATAAACTGTATTAGGTTTTCCTTAAATGCGCAAGTAGTTTCGACTGTACGTTCAGTCATCTTCAGACACGGAAATTATTTTGTTTTTGGCAAAATTCAGATAGCATCCGAGACGAAAATTCATCGAGTGATTGGTAGGTTAATGCATCTTTAAAATTTGTGAGCGAAGGATTCCACCATTAACTTTAGTAATTTACTTTTTGTATGAATGATTCATTGAAGTATAACTTGAACTGCAGCACACACACACACACACACACACACACACACACACACACACACACACACACACATATATATATATATATATATATATATATATATATATATATATATATGTGCCTTCTTGCCAACGTGGCAGTCCCTGCAGATTGCAATGCATCTTTGAAGATATTCAAAAAGCTGTCAAAATACAAGGACCTTGAAATCGAAATCTCAGAAATGTGGCACATGTGGACATCAACAATTCCAGTTGTAGGTGGAGCCCTCGGATTGAATGGAAAAAATTTCAATAGACTTATTAAAGGGATTTCTGGTAGACCACGCCTTAAAGAAATACAAAAAATTGTACCCACAAGTGCAGTAAACACATTACAAAGGGCTTTATTTATGTAAAAGATGTGTGTATCTCTGTTTTTGATTTCCTCAAAGAATCTCCAGTGGAAAATATGAAGCCATTTCTGATCTTAGGACTCTGGTTGGTACCCGGAAGGAAATGAATATACACCAGAAATCAAAGGAAATAATAATAATAATAATAATAATAATAATAATAATAATAATAATATGGAAATAAACTAATGATAATAAATACGAATATTTGCCAAGGTAAAATTTGGCCAAATATTAATCATGAAAGAAATTGACCTCGTGTCACCTTTTGAACGGCAGCTGACGAGAAAGGGTTAAATGTTGAAATTGCCTCACAGAGGGGCAAAACATGTCGGCGAAAAGTCTCAATCAGCCTCGAGCTAATTTAGAAATAAAAACTTGATCTTTGGGCGCTTTATGTCATTTCCCCAAACCGCTCATCTTTAAAAATTCGATTATTTTTTTCTGGTCAACGACGAAATTTTTTCGCTTCTAGCTTGGCCGAGCGTTGCTTCCTTTTTTTTTTTTTTTTTTGATACGATGACGAAATGGTCGTCGTCACGCTGACCCGATGGCCTATCAATGTGCTGGGCGAGTTTATCACTTATTAAACGGTTACAGTAATTGATCACGTTTTCAAAAATACATTTTATTCTACAACTACTGTCCCATAAGTGTTGTTACATTTAGTATAGAAAATGTATTTGAAAATGTAATAATTATTATGGTACAGTAGTAGTATTAGTTTCCCTTCTTTTTTTTTCTTTTCCCAATTTTATCTAGTTCTTTCTTTCTTTCTTTCTTTCTTTCTTTCTTTCTTTCTTTATCTAGTTCATTAATTCATTCATTCTTTCTTTCTTTAGTTCTTTCTTTCTTTCTTTATCTAGTTCATTCTTTCTTTCCTTCTTTTTTAGTTCATTAATTCAGTTATTCTTTCTTTCTTTCTTTAGTTCATTCATTCATTCATTCTTTCTTTTTTAGTTCATTCATTCTTTCTTTTTTTTCTTCTTTCTTTAGTTCATTAATTCATTCATTCTATCTTTCTTTAGTTCGTTCTTTCTTTCTTTCTCTAGTTCATTCTTTCTTTCATTCATTCATTCTTTCTTTCTTTTTTTACTTCATTCATTCATTCTTTCTTTCGTTCATTCTTTCTTTCTTTCTTTCTTTAGTTCATTCATTCATTCATTCATTTTTTAGTTCATTCATTTATTTATTCATTCTTTCTTTCTTTCTTTCTTTCTTTTGCCCAGTTTTTCTTTTCCATCAGTGTATATATTTAGCCATCAATTTAGCAGCCTATCACCGTCTTAGAAAAGAAAAATAAGTAGATGAGTAGAAATAGAAAAAATGCAAGAAAATCACGTCGTTGTAGTAGTAGTAGTAGTAGTAATAATAATAATGGAAGATAAATAAAAGAAGATCGTGTGAAATAAGATGAAGAAGAGGAAGCAAAAAAGGAATTAATAACAATAATAATAATAATTATAAAAATAATAATACAAAAACCTTGTTCTCTCAAGTATAGTCCACACCTCACGAAGCCCTTTATCTATATAAAATATGCGTGATTTTTTTCAAGACTGATCAGTAGAATATATGATGCCACTTCTGACCTTAGGTCTCTGGTCGGGACCCTAAAAGAAATTAGCATACACCATAAATAAGAATAAACAAAATAATAATAATAATAGATAAATAAATATCCAAAAACAATTGGTCATCTTGTATCAGGTTGCACAATGTTATCACCCACTGTGTATAAAACACGGTATGATGGAGTGGAACAATATCTGCACTGGAAATGATGCAACTTTTACGGGTAGGAAACTGCAAGAAACTGGTATGAACACCACCCAGAATTAGTTACGAAGATAGGACCTGTGACAATGTTTGGGGGACATTATAATGAACACAGGCAGAAGAATCAAAGAATCTAATCGCCTACGCGTCGCGATGAAAGAACGCAAAAACAGAATGTGTTTTTCTTATTGACATGGCAGACATTTCAAAATGTTATATATCTTTGAAGATCTTCAGAAAAATAAATACAAGGATTTTGAAGTGGAAATATCCAAAATGTGGCACATGAGGACATCAATAATTCCAGTTGTAGTTGGAGCCATCGGATTGATTGGAAAAGATTCCAATAGACTCATTGAAGGGATTCCTGGTAGACCATGCCTTAAAGAAATAATAATAATAATACTAATAATAATTAAAGTGGAAATCTCAAAAATGTGCCACATGAGGAGGACATCAATAATTCCAGTTGTAGTTGGAGCCCTCGGATTGATTGGAAAAGATTCCAATAGACTCCTTGAAGGGATTCCTGGTAGACCATGCCTTAAAGAAATAATAATAATAATAATAATAATAATTAAAGTGGAAATCTCAAAAATGTGCCACATGAGGGAGGACATCAATAATTCCAGTTGTAGTTGGAGCCCTCGGATTGATTGGAAAGATTCCAATAGACTCCTTGAAGGATTCCTGGTAGACCATGCCTTAAAGAAATAATAATAATAATAATAATAATAATTAAAGTGGAAATCTCAAAAATGTGCCACATGAGGAGGACATCAATAATTCCAGTTGTAGTTGGAGCCCTCGGATTGATTGGAAAAGATTCCGATAGACTCCTTGAAGAGATTCCTGGTAGACCATGCCTTAAAGAAATAATAATAATAATACTACTAATAATAATAATAATTAAAATGGAAATCTCAAAAATGTGCCACATGAGGAGGACATCAATAGTTCCAGTTGTAGTTGGTGCCCTCGGATTGATTGGAAAAGATTCCGATAGACTCATTGAAGAGATTCCTGGTAGACCATGCCTTAAAGAAATAATAATAATAATAATAATAATAATAATAATAATAATAATAATAATAATAATAATAATTAAAGTGGAAATCTCAAAAATGTGGCACATGAGGACATCAATAATTCTAGTTGTAGTTGGAGCCCTCGGATTGATTGGAAAATGTTCCAATAGACTCCTTGAAGAGATTCCTGATAGACCATGCCTTAAAGAAATAATAATAATAATAATAATAATGATAATAATAATAATAATTAAAGTGGAAATCTCAAAAATGTGGCACATGAGGACGTCTATAATTCCAGGTGTAGTTGGAGCCCTCGGGTTGATTGGAAGAGACTCATTGAAGAGATTCCAAGTAGACCATGTCTTAAAGAAATACAGAAAATTGTACTCACAAGTACAGCTCACACATTATGCGGATGTAGTTTATCGTCATACCCAGGACGGACCTTACAAAGAGCTTTATCTATATATAAATATGTGTGATCTTAGGTCTTCTGTTATTTTTTTTTTTTTTTTTTTTTACAAAAATGACCCGTGGAAAATATCATGATGCCTCAGGTTCGTGTTTGGGACCCGGAAAGTAATGTATATACAACAGAAATAATAGTAATAACAAAATAATAAAAACACTGGTCAACAACCAATTTTCATCAGAAATGCTATGTACTCCATTATATATAAATTTGTACGCTGATTTAAAATATATGTAAACGGGTTTGCATGTGTGAGTACCAGTATAAATAGTTATAAATAATTATTGACCGATTTTATCATTGTGATATTTTTGCATTATAACAAGTATTAAGAATGTAGTAACTCGGGTCCGCAAATTTTAGGAGAGAGTTATCAATCATAATGTTCTGATTTCGAATCCGCGGTTATCTCCCTTTAACTCTCTCTCTTTTTTTAAATGTACTTTTTATCAAATAAAATTTGGTGAAGCGCGAGCAAATTTTAATTCTGAAAATGCGGCCCAGAGAAAAATTTTTTTGAAGCACTGAGTAAGAGACTTGGTATTTGTTGATGTTGCATTTGTCGTATTGTCTGGTCTTTGGTAGACTAACTTCCTTCTTCCCCCCTACCTCGTCCTTCGTACCCTGCATATTTATATTTTCTCAAATCTCGTGGTCGCCGTGATTTTGCGTTAATTTGTTAGCATAAAAACAATATGGCTTCCCCACGAGATTCTTTTTACGTACGGACGTCCATGAGGTAAGTTTTTTTTTTTTCAAACTACAGCATTGTCAAGGGATAAATCTGAACTTTTAGCATTTCGTGTGTCTGCTTAAGGAACTGTTTGTATTCCTCATTTCAGAAAGAGAAATATGGATCTGAGTTCTTCTGTTTGCTCTGTGGACAGGCCACATAGCTTCTGTAATGGTGTTGATGAGTTATTTCATTGTTTACTGCCAGGAACGTGTTCCATCTGGAAAACGCAGTGCAGATGAAGGAGTGCTATGAGAACATACGGATACTCCTCAATGCCATGAAGTACTCAGGATGAAACTTGAATATATTTGGAGAGTTAAAGGGAATTCAGTCATGATTCACGAAATATTATGGCTTTTTAGACCTTTGGGAGAGTCGTCTAACTGCCAAGCATTATATGCAATCAGAGTGGCCACAAAGAGAATTATATTAGCCGGGAGTCTCTAACGTCCAGAGGAAGCCATTAGTAAAGCTGGAAAATGTTCTTTTCTCTCCTCTTCACATAATGTTTGGACTCATGAAACAATATGTGTAGATACTTGCCAGGAAGAACTGGAAAGAAAGGCTTTGAATATGTGAAGGCCAATTTCCCAAGAATCAAAACTGAAGGAAAGGCGTAAGAGTAGGTCCGAAGCTAAAGGAACAACTCAAAAACAACAACTTTATCAAAACCCTGGATGAGATTGAACCTAAAGCCTGGGAATCCTGGGAAGTGGACCTGTGAAAATTTTCTCGGTAAAAAGAGATGCCAAGATTTTAGAAATCGTGTAGAATGACTTCTAGAGTCATTCACGGCAATGGGCTGTCGGATGCCACTGAAAATCCATTTCCCTGATTCACATCTGAATTTTTTTTTTTTTGCAGAGAACCTTGGTGCAGTGACTGATGAGCAAGGGGAAAACTTTCATCTAGACATCAATAGAGCAATGAGATCAAGGATTTGGGAATAAAGGAATGATATCTAGAATTTGGGAATGAAGGAATGTCAAGTATTTGGGAATAAAGGAATGGTATCAAGAATTTGGGAATAAAGGAATGATATTTAGGATTTGAGAATAAAGGAATGATGTCATGAATTTGGGAATAAAGGAATGATATCAAGAATTTGTGAATAAAGAAATGGTATCAAGGATTTGGGAATAAAGGAATGATATCAATGATTTGGGAATAAAGGAATGGTAAGAAGGATTTGGGAATAAAGGAATGATATCAAGAATTTGGGAATAAAGAAATTATATATAGGATTTGGGAATAAAGGAATGGAATCAAGGATATGGGAATAAAGGAATGATATGTAGGATTTGGGAATAAAGGAATGACAGCTGACTACTTTTGGAAATTATAATGGGAATAAGCACCAGAGAATGTCTAAATCTCAAAGGTTTTAAATTGTAATACAATAGAAAGTATTAAAGCTTTATTTTCAACACAATAGTTTTGAGCACTAAATGGCCACGAAATTGTCATATCTTGTATTTATTATACATTATAAGTAAATGAATTACATACCTATAGGAATTAGTAACATAAAAATGTGACCGGATAGAGGAAAATCGACTTTAGATTCGTAATCGGCATGAAAAATTGACTAACAAAAAAATTGACTTTCAACAGTGATGCTTAAAAATGTTTCATTTTTGTTCACCAGCGTAATGCAACACTTAAAAAATGGCTTGATTGAAGAAAGAAAAAAAAAATGTTGTATTTAACAATGTTCAGCAATATTTCGATGAAAGTTTGAAGGCAGACATATTATCGAAATAATGTTGAACGTTGTCGTTTCTCTTTCATTTCTTCAATTGCACGCTTCTCTAAGCGTTGAAAAATATTGGAAGCATTACGTCAATCATTTTGTTTAATAATAATAATGATGATGATGATGATGAAGAAGAAGAAGAAAATGACAAGCAGGGAAGAAAATGAAGTATAATTAGATGAATAATAATAATAATAATAATAATAATAATAATAATAATAAAAAGAAGGAGAAATAGAAGACGAAGAAGAAGAAAAAGAAGAGGTCGAAGACGAAGAAGAAAATAAGAAAAAAGATGACGACGACAACGAAGAAGAAGAAGAAGAAGAAGAATAAGAAAAAAGACGACGACGACGACGACAACAACAACGAAGAAGAAGAAGACGACGAAGAAAAAATAAG